AATCCCTCTGCCACGGTCTCTTTAAAGCTTTCATGGCGATTGCTTTTTCGGGCGTCGCGGCGAGGTGAGAGGAGCATCCATTTGTTAAGTCGCGCAAATCCCTCAGGAATCAGTGGGGATAGGGAACGGTACACCAGGACACGTCGGGCGTCTACGAGCCTCCAAAGTACGAAAGAGAGTCGCGTGTCGTTGATAAGCGATCGCGGTTAACGTTGGTTTAATTTCACGAGGGAAAATCGCCCGCGGTCTAAAATCACCCAGGAATAAGTAAGCAGGGAAATCGTGTACGGTAAAGTAGGTATCGACTTTGCCGTCCGACTACGTAAATTACCTCTCTCCTAGTACTCGACTAGGAAGTACCAAAGACCTGAAGTAAATACGATATCGGCATTGGTGTTTCAACTTTTTTTTCTTTTTTCTTCAAATTATTGGAAAAAATATTGAGTAATAATTCGTGCAAACTTTTATAAGATCTTACGAAGGGACTGAGGCCACCCCTTACCACCCTCCTTACCAACAGACTTGTGAGCGCGCGTGTGTGAATCGATATTGCGTTCGCGTCTAGTTTCAACCGAAATACGAAAAGTAGTTATACGGATGTAAATATAAATAAAAAATAAAAAAAGATAAAAAAGTATATCTGATACAGGGGACCCACGTATCAATCCGTAAACCATATATATAAACTTCAGATATCTATATGCGCGATATTTACGTAACAGGATTCACGTAGATCCAAACAAGCACAGGGGGAACTTACAGATATGAAAAGATTACTCTGTACCCGTATATATCTATATACAGTGTAAATATTCTAACAGTTCTTCATACGGCACATATGGCTTGCCTAACATATCTGATGTAAACCAATACACGTTATACATACGAGGCACATATGTAAAATGAAATACACCGCTCTATGAAAGTGAAGCCCAGTACTCGCACGAGGTACGAGGTAAAAGCACGGGAGGGCCGAAGAAGACTGAGCAAGTATCAGCAACGAGGTTGGCAGCGCTTGCCGTATGCGTACACGAGACGGTAACACGTGCACAAGTACCCTCAGGAGAAGCAACGGGAACGTCAGTTAATATCGGGAATGACGTGGAAGCTGCCGACGTCGGACATACGTATGCGAAGCATGACGTTTGCGTATTTGTTTATATCTACGTCTTCTTTGACTATTAAATCAACAACGACAGGACCGGTATTCTCGAGCCGTTCTCATGAGTTTCGACCACGACCAGTCGACGCTCTACAAATGAAAAGTAGCGTAGGAGATTGATTAGGGGCAGACTGGAAAATACGAAGCCTGGACAGAGACGGGAATATCGCGTCGAGTCTCGTCACGGGAATATCACGTGACATCCGTCAGGTAAAAGTTAGCTGAAACGTGCCGTGCCAGGAAACGCTACGAGTATATAACTATATACACACAGTATAAGCAAGCACGGATAAACGACGATAGTAGAAAGATGCGCATGTTCCAAGGAGGGACAAGTGACAAGCATAGAGGATGTGTGTATATACAGAGACGGGTGTCTTTATCACTCCAGAGAGCGTCCTCGGGCGTCCCGACGCTTCAGGGTGGGAGCGACGGACTCTCGCCGCGGGTTTTACGTTCATAAATTATGGCTGCGTTAATTATAATGGAGTTTAGGGTTGAGGGTGTTTAAATTGACTTGACGCGGTCAGCGACAAGACGAAGGGAGGGGAGGAGAGAGAACACGTGGGACGGTGGGATCAGGTGGCGAGGGG